AGAAAGAGAGAGAGAGAGAAAGCGGGTTGAACTCTGCAATGTGCACCAGCGACACAGAAATGACTGCCACAGCAGCGGAGGAGAAGAAGCAGACAGGAGGAGTCCCGATGAGGCAGCTCACCGCCGGCAGGTCTTGACGGCTGCTCCCCCTGACCTGAAACATCCCGCACCGCCGCAGCACCGCACGGTTTACACACACTAAAAAAAAAAAAAAACCAACATAGCCGAAATAATCCACATCCCGTCGGCGAACATTGAAAGCGACAATGGCGAGCCTGGGCGACTGCTGTGTGAAGGTTGCGTTGAGGTAAGCCTCCTACGTCTGTCTGCTGGAAATCTGCCGACCTTAGCAGACCACATTGTGTCTGTGCCTCCTGGCGATCAATTAAACGCATCATGCACACCTATAGTCTTATTTCACTCTTTACACTCCCTTAATGTCTCTGCTCCTTGTGGGATGCAGTTAGGTTTTACAGCTACTGAGCAGAGTATTACACCTTGTTTTGCAATACATGGGTGGTGTTCTGCACAGTATTGATAAGGCAAAGCATGTGCCAGCACCACGATCTCCATATGATTATTTTCATGTATGTGGGGGGGCATAAGTTCTCCACAGCATTAGTTGGTCCCGTTATGTGTAGAAGCAGTGGGTTGCATTCAGGGTTTATCATTGGGTGAAGTGACAAGGACAGCTGCAGCCAGGTGCAGGGAGGAGAATGGGCGTTTCTCTCCAAACCAATTTTTGCATTATTATTCTCACAGGCAACTACCTGCAGTCTCACCTCATCCTAACCGTGTCTAGTGAACACCTTATGGCAGAGTTTGCACCGTAAGCAGGGTTTGTGTTTTAATGTGTTAAAAATCCTGCCTCTGCAGATGACTGGAGCACAAAGAGATGCTCTCCTTCAGAGCTGTGTCATTCACTGCCTTTGTTGGAAATGCACCCGAAAGCTCAGGCAGCACAGCAGCTTTTGGATTCGTATCAGGAAATATTAGCCATCGATTGTGCGTGCCAAGACTAAATGCTGATTTGAAAGAGAGCATATAAATGTGCATGTGCTGGAACTGGGTGCCTCTCAAACTGGGAGGCCTGACTGGAGTCTGACTGGGGCTACGCCTGTAATCATACACATTTTGCAGTGTGTGGAGCTGAGGCGGTGGTCTGTCCTTTACCTCAGACCCTCCCAGACTCTGTCACACCAGCTAATGAATCCCACTTGGTCACACTGAGAGTCCTTTATTAGAAGATTAAGAGAAAATAGGTCTCCTTGCACCCTCTTTTATAGTGCAAATGTAACGCAACAGCAGCAAAGTAATAGTGAAATTTAACTATTCTTTAAAAATGACTCCTTTCAGGTCCTTCAACCCCAGTTTGGGACCCATTGATTGAACTTAGTGGGGGTTGAGGATGGGGGATCAGCCCAGTAAGATGAACCATACAACTGATGGCCTCATTTCCCCAGGGGAGGTTTCAGAGTCACTTGTCAATCAGCCGCTGAGTGTATCTCCTTTGTGCTTGTTCACAGCGACAAACTGTAACAGGAAGTGGGGTGGGTGGTGCTGACAAAAAAGGCAAAGCAAAAAAGGTGAAAAAAGAAGCCACAGAGACAGCTGGTGGCTGCTGCTCAACTGAAGTTATTGATTAAAGTCTGGAAAGCAACTCAGAGGCTTGTTGACAGAGTGTAAGTGAATGAATGAAGGTGACAGATATCGCCTCACACACCACACGCCTGTGTGTTGTTTAGCTGTCACCATCTTTTCTTTTTAGGGTGATGTAACATTGGCATGACCATCAGTGTGTAAGCATATTTCCCTTGATATAACTCACTAAACTCACATTTATCATAGAAAAAGAGGGCCCGGGCATTTTAATCACAGTAGAAGCTTTTTAAATCAGTTTCATTAGCATCAACTTCACGTGGTAATTAAACAGTTCGTGTAATTACATGACTTCACTGGTGGGCGAGCTGCTCCTTTTCATCATGTGTGATCTGTGTGTGTATTTACATACCCTGTGAGCGCCACCAAAAGTGTCTGTGTGTTTGACAGGAAATGGGAAGCCCACAAATAAACACACTGAGGAGGATAACTTCCTGCCGCATAAGCGACGGTTTTCCCAATGACCGCAGAGCGTCTTTTATTTTAATTCTTTCCCCCTAAGAAAGTCGGCCGCTGATAAGAGAGGATGGTGTTTAATTGCTCCCATGTTGTGCAGGCCCTCAGGCACACTGCATACAGCTCAGGACTTTGTGTGTGTGTGCGTTTGGAGGGCAATGAGGTTGTCATGAGGTCCAACCGACACACACGCACATAGTCTGAGTCGCCAGCATCCATTTCCTGAATGTCTGCACTGCCTTCCCTAAACAATGTCCATATAACCGTTGACATGACCTACAATCCTGCATTCAGACCTGACTGCCTGAGGATTGGATGTGGACACACACACACACACACACACACACTTATTTCAATGGTTCTGCATTGCAGTCACGTCAAACACAGCAAGATGCATGTAGTGTAACTCCCTACTAAGTGGCCGTCTTTAAATTGCATCGGCTGGCAGCTGGGTTGGCTGTTTCATCTTCATACAGCTGCATTCACTTACAGGATAAGCTTAGTCTGATGCAAACAGGCTATAAGGATGATAAGACTCCTACATTTTCTGAGTCTCGCCCATGTAACCCACACACACACACTCACAATCATGCAGTTTCACTTCACCTCGAGGGTGCCTCCCTCTCTCGTTGATCTTGCGCTGAGTGCTGCATTTGCCGCCAGATTTAAGGCTTTATGTTAAGGCTGGCTCAGAGCGCGCACGTGCTACTATAAATGTCAATAATTCAGCTTTTGTGTGTATGCATGTACGTCGGGTGCAACTCGACACGAAAGTTACGAGCAGTGTGTAAAAATCCATTTGCATATCGAACGCTCTCTCCTGCCGTTTCTCTCTCTGCAGCTCCGCCACTTACTCATTTTAAACTGGGGAGCGACTCTTGTCTTCCATTGAAGTGCTAAGTCAGCCTCCGTAGCTGTGTATAAATAGACACAAAGACAAATCTGTTTAGAGCTATTGTGGTCTTTGACTTTGTGACTGCTGCTTGATGTTCTCACCTTTACAGGCTTTTCCTCAAGGCTGAACTCTGTCTGATTTGAGCTTCGTTGCCAGAGAAATCTCCAAGAAATGAGTCATCAGTCCTGTGCATTTGATGCATTTGTGGCTGACGATAATGAAAAAAACAAGTTCTGCAAATAGAGCACAAAATATTCAGTGTTCTTTCAGACCCCACATACACATGAGTCGGGTGTTTTGGACAGTTATGACGCAGAGCATTTTGGCTTAAAGGCGATGGGAGCTCAGCTGGAAAAAGGATTATCTTTTATCTCTCTGTCGTCTGCTTACACATTGATCAACCAGTCAAAAACAGAGCTTTGCAGAAGCACTAAAGTGTATAATATATCCGTCCAAGTGCTGCAGAGTTTTGCCACTGACCAATGACCAAAAACACTGGCTTCAAAACAAAACAGGAGTAGGGGAATACAACTGCGGAAAGGGCCCTTCACAGCTGATACACAAAGGCTTTAAACGGGAGTTTAAAAAAAAAAAGGGCTGTTTTGTTGTTGGACGTATGTCCTGTGTAGGCTACCAGTCTCGCCTGTTTCCTGTGTGTGTTAATGGTTTGCCACACAGGCTCTGTCTGGGTTACACACCTCCCCAGGGGGTTGCCTTTAAAATGGCCTGGTGGGAAATTGTGGATGTGTCTTTGTGTACGAGTTATCAGCCTACAGTATGTACTAGTCACAGGGTAGTGCTGCAATGTAATCTCTCCTCGGTACATTCTTACACTTGGTCTCAACATTCAGCCCATCCATCTCTCCAGCATTGAGCTTTCTGCAGATTCACAGTCACCGGTCAGGAAAAGTGAAAGCACTTTTACTTTGTTGATGGGAGTCGCCACTGGATTTGTTTTCAGATCAGTGATTTGGCCTCAAACGAGGGATGAGGAGCAGGAAACATGACAGCACACGCCCAATTTGTCCATCCACAGCTGTGCATCACTTCCTCCTCATGCTGGCCTGCTGGTCACATGTTTTTTGTTGTTGTTGCCTTTTAAACCTGTTAACCCTAACAGTTCTGCGTGAATGTTTTGTGGCAACATTGCTATAGCAGCGAGGTTAGAATTGCTTAGCATTGTGTGTACAGTATGTACTTTCTTTGCGTGTGTCACTGCAGTTTGGATGAAAAGCCTCTGACATGAGACCTGAAAGTTGATAGGAGCTTCATGAATAATCAGGCTCTACAAGCTCTGGGAATTTACGAGCAGTTTGTGGTCCAAGGAGGTGAAAAAGGTCTGCAGGACAAACAAGTTAGTGAGGTTGCTGAGCTACATCCCTTAATCTTGATTTTCCAAACAATAACACAACTCCTCTTAATGGCATGTCGGATGACAGGAGTATAATAGAACAATTTAATTGTGTTGGCCTGACTATTAGGGGAGTGGTGTTTGTGTGCTCAGTGTATAGAGCATGGCATGTGCTTTGGCATTAAAATGGATTGTGCAACTGGTCTGCTGATGAACTTCATCAGCACTCCCAAATGGTGTGCTGCTGTTGCAGAATGACTTCCTGTGAGGCTGCCGCTGGACTATCCACACTTCCTGTTCACTTCCTGCTTTGCAAGCCACTGATGAGCCCGTTGACATGATTCAGTTAAGACTGAATCCTCAGTGAGAGCGTGAAAGTGAAAAAAAATTGACTTAAAGTTAAGCCTTGGGACATTTTTTTTTAAACCTTCTAGGAATAGGTCTACTGCTCTGCAATCTGACTGAGAAAATCAATTGAAGTTCTACTTAATAAAAAAAACATTTTATGCTCTTTGGTGACAAAAAAAAGGCCAGTTGTTCCTGATTAAAAAAAAAAATAGAAAGAACACATTGATCCCGAGTGTGTGCTAACTGTGCTCTCTGATCACGTCACATCAAACTTCCCTTTAGATGTTTGCCTCATCCTTCTATTTTCACTTGCTCAAGCTTGTCTGCACCGTGAGCAAAATAAAGCGTGAAACTGTGACCAAAATGCTGGAATGTCACCAGCTTACTCTCCCCAACAGCTACGACCTCCTCCTATTTCCCCCACTCTTGCACGTGTGTGTATACACACACACACACACACACACACACACACACACACTCACATCAGTATTTATTTGAATTCATCCATTTGAATTCACTGAGGAATGAAAGGCGCTTCAGTTTGAACATTTGCATTTTTCTGATATCAGGACCTCATCATATGTCCGCTGGAACTGGA